GGAAGCATTAATCGTAGAAAAATAAACACCTATGCATTCTTTGTACATATGTACATTTATGCATCTTTTCAATATTCTTGTCCAGGAGATCTGTTGTTATGGGGAATGTCGAGACGATACGCATCCCATTTTGAGGTCAAGGGAAATGGGATTGTTGTTGTTATGGGGCATCCAGTCTCTTCTAACATTTGGTGACCTTAATAGAGCTTTTGAGATGAGTGAGATATTCAAGGCGTGGTTTACTGTTGCTACTTCCAGGAGATTTCCATGGCCAAGTGGGATTTGAACCCATGTCTCCAGAGTCCTGATCCAATAGTCTTCTCTTCTGAATCCGCTGCTCCACACTGGCCTTTGCTGTTGTTTTTATATATTTTCAAATAACTTCCAATTTACAGCTACGCTAATAAAGTTTCTGATGTATGTGAAATTTTGAAAGAGTGGGTTACTATTGCTGTCACGACGCTGTGCGTTTCCAAGCCTGAGGAGGGATTTGAACCCTAAGTCCTAGTCAGACGCTCCATCCACTCTACCACAGTCTCTCTTTATTAGGCCAACTTTTGGAATTAAAATTCTCACCAAGCAGGCTCTTTCAAAAAGTGAATGAGGGAGGAGTATCCCACATAAACTGCCTTAAGAGATAAAGGAGAAGTTCTTGTGGACATTTTAACAGGACTGATCGGGTGCTAAATTTCACCCTGTAAGACCCCCAGTTTTGCTGAGAAATGCAGAGACAGTTTTGGGTTTCAAAGGGACTGTGGTACATATTTTCAAAATGGTGGCTCGGTGTTTATTGCTCCTTATCTTTTTCTTTTTTTGCCCTCGGCAAAACTAGTGGTACATATTTTAAAAATGGTGGCTCAGTGTTTATTGCTCCTTATCTTTTTCTTTTTTGTGGTACATATTTTCAAAATGGTGGCTCGGTGTTTATTGCTCCTTATCTTTTTCTTTTTTTGCCCTCGGCAAAACTAGAAATCATTCAGGGTTAAATCTAACAAATTATAAACTACAGCCCTAGTTATCTCTTTCTCTCTTAAAACAGCATATATGTGCTTGTTTGCTCTGTCATCTGGGTTCAGTCCCCCATCCAGTAACATAACGCAGGAAAAAGATGCTTCTTCCAACTGGTCTTCAGCCGAGCGGAAGATAAAACAGAGGATGCCTTCAGCTGAGAACTGTCCTTTGTAAAGAGGCAGAAATGGCCATCCTGATCTGTAAGGGTGCTTGGAAGAGCTAAATGCTGTAAAAATCTGATAGTTAAATAGCTAAACACCTTCAACAGATTCTAAATTGGTTAAGTTAAAGTTTGGGTCTCACACATACTTAGGTTTAAGTGGGCCATAAAAGGAGATGTTAAAAAACGCCAAGCCTTTACTAGCTAACTGGAAGATTGATAAGATAAAAGCTGCAAGATGAAGGGCAAAATGGGCTGATTGATTAACAACATCTTTGAGCGGCTGTTAAAGCCAACAGTATTTTCTGTGCGCTGCGGAGGCCTCTCGGTGCAGCACCGCAGCTGGATGTACGACAGAACCATTATTGCTACTGCTCGCCCAGGAAAATTCTCTATTAGGCCCGTGATGAATGGTGAGCTGTCGTTCTCATTTCCCAACTGGAGTCGGCAGGTTGATGGATTCCTCAGGATGGCTGCTGAGTCTACAAGCTTGTTCGTGTTGCAGGAGGCCAGGCCTTTTTCAATGCCCCACATCTGGGAGGGACAGGGCGAGCATTGAGCTGAGGATTGAACAGGGTTAGCAGACAAGAGGCATCTCCCAATTCAGTCATTGGGAAGCTCAATGAGGCTGAAAAACAAACTCCGTCAGTGTTTGTGTTGCCTGTGACTCTCCCTCCCACCCCCATATTTCAAGGTTGTTCAGTTGCATAAATGCTGTTCTGCAGAGCGTAGGGGTGGCAATTTGTAGGGCTTTGAATGACTGTCAGCAGCCAGAGGAGTGAAAGCCTTGATGGATTTATCAAAGCTAGCTGTGGTGGGCAGCGAAAGCAAAGGCCGACAGCAGAGGCAAGCCCTGGTGGAACAGTTCAAGTTGCCCAGAAAAATCCCTTCTTCCTGTAAGTCACAGTGGCCAGCGGGATTCCTCTCAGAAGCCAGCAGGCAATAGTCAGTAGCAGTCCTCTTTCAGCCTAAGAAGTGGGTTCATCAGTTGACAGCCTCTAGAAATGGAAGTCTGCTCCCAGACTCTGGAACTCCCTCCCACAGGAGGCCCGTCTGGCCCCATCTTCACTCTCCTTCTGCAAGCAGACAAAGACCTTTCTCCTTCTACAAGCAGACAAAGAATTTTCTCTTCAGGCAGGCTTCCCTTTAATGACTGGCTGCTTGGGTGGAGTTTTTTTTAATGGATAAGTTATACCTTACTGCTTTGAATGTGTTTTTGGTGTTGCTTTTGTTTACTGTCTTTTAGTGTGGTATCCTTTTGACCCTTTTCAGTATTTGTATACCTACTGTTTTTAGCTTTAAATATTGTCTTTTAATGATGGGTCCTTCCTAAGGAGAAAAGTGGGATAAAATATTTTGAATGAATGAATGAATGGGGTAAAATATTTTGAATGAATGAATGAATTAATGATTTTTTTAAAAAAAATCCATAGTCCAGTACATCTGGAGGTAGCCAGGATAGGAAAGACAGTCCATAGTCCAGTATATCTGGAGGTAGCCAGGATAGGAAAGACAGCAGCCTCGGTACTCATGATGGAGGGCTAGATCATAAATGTAACTTTTTTTGTTTTTTACTTGATTAGTATAAAATGCCTTGGTTGGATAGACTAAAGTTTCACATCTTATAACACTGGGCAGTGAGATGCTTCTGTGGAATGAAGGCATCAGCTCTCTCTTAACACTGACTGAGATTCAAAAGTGGATCGCCTCTGACCAGACAGTTTCAACAAGTTACTTTTCAGACTACGACTCTCAGTATCTCCTGGGGATGAATGGATTTTTGCAAGCTCTAGCTGTAACCATGCAGGTTTCCTACGGTGGCCTTCTCAAAGTGGTGCTTTCCAGATATGCAAGACTACAACTTCCATCATTCCCAGACAACATGGCCAATCCTCAAGGCTCCTCTAGTCCAGCCCCTTGCCAGTGCAAAAAACCCACTGCTACATCATCCCTGGCAGGTTGTTCTGTGCACTGTCTTAAATAACTTTTACTATATATTTTTCAGTAAAAATACCACTTTCCAAAGAAGTCTGTTCTGCTATCAACAAAGTTATACCACCAGGAGGTTCTTTCCAAGTTTGGCCCTTTTCGTTTAACTGCAATCTTTCCAGCTAGTGAAGTACTGTAACTTCAAACTCACAGAGCTGTTTAATTTTTGTTTATGTCACAATTCTTTGTCATACCAAAATGCTAGCCCTATTTAGCCATCACCTACCCACTTATTTCCACTCTGCATGTGGGTCAGTGCCTGGCAAACTCCATATTCCATAATCTCTTTCTCCATGCAGGGAGTGAGGTACATAACAAGGAAAGGTTCTTGCTCATTTGTAAGCTCACTATGCAAGAAAGAATTGTAGAAAATTAGGATTCACGTTCTAGTTCAGTAAGCAGTTCTAAAATTAGAGGCATCTGTGACGAACTCCACGTAGCAGATCTATACCTAGGTACCTATATAGGGTATAACTGAAAGTTCTGCCATTCTATAGGTAAAGGTAAAGGTTCCCCTTAGGTATAACTGAAAGTTCTGCCATTCTGTAGGTAAAGGTAAAGCTTCCCCTTGACAATTTTTGTCCAGTTGTGTTCGACTCTAGGGGGCGGTGCTCATCCCTGTTTCCAAGCAATAGAGCCAGCGTTTTTGTCCGAAGACAATCTTCCGTGGTCACATGGCCAGTGCGACTTAGACACAGAATGCTGTTACCTTCCCACTGAAGTGGTCCCTATTGATCTACTTGCATTTGCATGCTTTCGAACCGCTAGGTTGGCGGGAGCTGGGACAAGCGACGGGAGCTCACTCCGTCACGTGGATTCGATCTTATGACTGCTTGGTCTTCTGACCCTGCAGCACAGGCTTCTGCGGTTTAGCCCGCAGCACCACCACGTCCCTCTGCCATTCTATAGAGGCTAGTAAATAATATGGTATATAACAAATGGAGGCAGAGAACTAATAATCTAGGCCAATCAATTGACTCAAAGTACATATTGATCTGTTAGTCAGTGCTTCTACATGAAAACTTTCTTCCCTATTTTCAAATTTTCTACAGTGCTAATTTGGCATGGCAAAGTGGTTCAAAATGAAACTAGTATGCCATTATATGACAAGGCTGTAGAACTACAGAAGAAATAGACGAGGGATGCGAGTTTTGCATTACATGGACTACAAATACTGGAATTCTCTATTCTGGGAGTTCTGCCTACCTTACAAACACCTAAATGCAATGGACCTGGAAGAAAGGTTTAAACTAGAAGGTTGTAAGGCAGTGATGATGAACCTATGGCACAGGTGCCACAGGTGGCACGTGGAGCCCTTTCTGCCGGCACGCGAGCCATAAGTTGCCGGATCGCTACTCCCCCCTCCCCCCGCAACCAAACCTGAGCAGGCGGCTACAACGCAGTGCTGGTGCCCGGACAGGCGGCAGGTCAGGATCTGGAGCAGGGTCTCGAGGCACCTCCATGCCCGGGATTCTCTCTTCCGCTACCACTTCCAGTTCTGCCACTGCCAGTTCCGGTTCC